GGCCCTGCACCAGGGTGCCCCACCCCCTGGGAGAAGGGTGGCCAGGAAGTCCCTTTCCCAGGCTGGCCCCATCTGAGGCGCACATGGCTGGGGAGCTGTGCGGGGAAGCCCCAAGATCCCCTCTGGGAGCGGCCCGTCCAAGCCTCTGCTGAGCGAGCCCTTCCACAAACCGCGGCCCAGGGAGAGCAGTCCCTCCGATGCCCAGCCGGTGTGATCGTTGGCCAAGCAGCAGCAGAGCCGGAGACAGAGGGTCAGTGGCGGGGGGAGGGAGGGGGCTCTGAGTCGATGGAGCATTGCCGTGAAGTGGCTGCACGGCAGGTGGCGCCCCCCGGCTCACTTGTTCCAGGCAGCAGTCTCAGCTGGGGCATTGCTTCTTGGGCCATCCCCGGGCCGCCCCTGGGCAGCCAAGCCAGCCACATGTTGCCCCCGGCCAGGCAGCTGTCATGGCTAATGCGGTGGCCAGTGAGGGCATTGCACCCTGGGAAGCCAAGCCGGCCACATGTCTCCCCAGGCTGGGCGGCAGTCATTGCTGGGGCAGTGGCCGGCGCGGGCATCACTCCCGGGAAGCTGAGCCGGCCACATATCTCCCCAGGCCGGGCCGGCCGGTAATCAGGCATGAAGCCTGCCTGGCTGCCGCAGGGCTCTCCACTACCCGGCCCCACCTCGGCCCCATTTGTGACGCCTTCCTCAGCTGCTTTTGGGGAGCCGCCGCCACCACCGCCCTCAGTGCTGCAGGAGGAGACCTTGGGCCATGAGGCCGGCGGGGCCGGTGCACCCAGCCTTGGCGCCCTCCTCCTGCAACGGCGAAGTGGCTGAGGATGCGGCGGGGGCCGGGCCGGGGGCAGTGGAGACCCTGACCATGCTGTAGTGGCCACTGCTGGAGCTGCCACCGCTGCTGCCGCCACCACCAGAGCTGCTGCCTCCTGTCCTCCCCCTCCCCGCCTGTTCGGCTGAGGAGACGGTGGGGGTGGCGGCTGGGAGCTGCTCCTCTCCTGCTCCCCCTCCCCACCTGTTCGGCTGAGGACATGGGGGGTGCTGGGAGCCGCTGCCTCCTGTCCTGCTCCCCCTCCCCGCCCGTTCAGCTGAGGATGCGGCGGAGGGGCAGCTGGGAGCTGCTGTCTCCCGTCCTGCTCCTCTTCCCTGTCCATTTGGTGCCATCTGCCTTTTGCTCTCTCTCTCTCTTCATCTGGAGGGAGAGGGAGAGAGAAAGAAAGAGAGAGAGGGGAAAGAGAGAAAGAGGAAAGGAAGAAAAGAGAAAGAGAGAGGAAAGAGAGAGAAAGAGAGAATAAAGAAAGAGAAGAGAAAGAGAGAGAAAGTTAGAAGAAAGAAAGAGGAAAAGAAAGAGAGGAGAGAGAAAGAGAGAGGAAAGAAAGAAAGGAAAGAGGGAAAGAGAAAGAAAGAGAGAAGAAAGAGAAAGAGAGAAAGAAAAAGAGAGAGAGGAAAGAGAAAGAGAGAAGAGAGAGAGAGGAAAGAGAGAAACAGAGAGGGGGAGAGGAAAGAGAAAAAGAGGAAATAGGGAGAGAGAGAAAGAGGGAGAGGAAAGAGAGAAAGAAAGAGAGAGGGGGAGAGAAAAAAAGAGGAAAGAAAAAAAGATTGAGAAAAGAGAAAAAGAGAGGAAAGAGAGAGAAAGTTAGAAGAGAGAAAGAGAAAGAGAAATAAGAGAAAGGAAAGAGGAAAGAGAAAGAGAGAGGAAAAAAGAGAGGAAAGAGAAAGAGAAAAGAGAGGAAAGAGAGAGAGAAAGTTAGAGGAAAGAGAAAGAGAGGAAAGAGAAAAAGGAAAGAGAGAGGAAACAGAGAGAAAAGAGAAAGAGAGAGAAGAGAGAGAGGAAAGATAGAGAAAGAGGAAAGAGGGAGAGAGAAAGAGGGAGAAGAAAGAAAGAAGAAAGAGGGGGAGAGGAAAGAGAAAAAAAGAGGAAAGAGAAAAAAGATTGAGAAAAGAGAGAAAAAGAAGAGAAACAGAGAGGAAAGAGAAAAGAAAGAAGAGAAAGAGAGAGGAAAGAGAAAGAGAAAGGAAAGAGGAAAGAGGAAAGAGAGAGACAGAGAAAGAGAGAAAGTTAGAGGAAAGAGAGAAAGAGGAAAGAAAGAAAGAGAGAAAGAGAGAAAGAGAGAGGAAAGTGACAGAGACCCTTTATTTTATACACACACACACACACACACACACACACACACATACACACACAAACACACACATTAAAGGTAAAAAAGGATATATGCAGCGTTTTCTTCATTTTAGATATCAAAAGGGTTTTGCAGCTCCCAGTGTTTTGTTTTCGATGGGAAACGTGTCCAAGTGGCTCTTTGAGTGTTTTGGGTTGCCTACCCCTGTCCTAGATGAATAGAAAGATTGTCCATCGCTGAATGTAGACATTTGATCCATGTTGTTTTATAGGTTGCCCACCTTGGTGACAGAGACATGAAATTCATGCTAGTCCATGCTTGCAGTCTAAACAAGAATAAGCAGTTGCTTTACAACTATTCTCTGCTAGATAATACATTGTAGGGTTCTTCATGCAATTGTTTAAGTAGTGTGATGAAGAGTAACTAGGAACATTGAGAATCTGCCTTGATATGTTATTACTACAGATAGTCCTTGACTTACAACAGTTCATTTAGCGACTGTCTGAAGTTATAATGGCACTGACAAAAGTAACATGACCATTTTTTACACTTATAACCATAGTAGCCTTCCCATGGTCATGTGATCAAAATTCAGATGCTTGGCAACTGATTCATGTTTATGACAGTCATAGTGTCCTGGAGTTATGTGATCACCTTTTGAGACCGTCTGACAAGCAAAGTCAATGGACAAATCAGATTCACTTAACAACCCTGTTACTAACTGAACAACTGCAGTGATTCACTTAGCAACTGTGGCAAGAAAGGTTGTAAAATGGGACAAAACCAATTCTAATTATTTGAAACCAAATAATTAACAACGTTCAGATTTTTGAACAAAATACAGTAGATCAGGGCTTTTCAACCTTTTTACCAATTGTACCACTTTTAGGATATGGCAATATTTGAGTACCACCTAGCAAGGTGTCAAAAACTCAATGACAAAAAAAAACCTGTTCAAAGTTGCAATTGCACTGAAATGACTTATGACCATTTTTCACACTTATGACCATTGCAGCATGCCCAGGGTCATGTGATTTATATTTGGATGCTTGGCAACTGATTCATATTTATAATAGTCACAATGTTCCAGGGTCATGTGATCCCCTTCTGCAACCTTTTGACAAGCAAAGTCAATGGGAGAGCTGCTGGTAGCCAAGTGCTAAGGCGGGACTTCCTTTCCTCCCTCCCTTCCCTGCCTCTCTTTTTCTCATTCCCATCACCTTCTGAAGGAAGAATTTGAAACCCCCCTCCCATATTTTCCCTTTTCCATATATTTATCAAACAAGGAAAGGCCTCCAGAGACAGAAAAGACAAGCTGCTGAGTGAACTAGCTTTAAAAGGCACATCCCTCTTTAAGAATTAGCTACTGGCTAGAAAGGAAAGTAAGGAGCACAGCCAGCACTTAAGGAAGAAAAAAAATGTACTAAGTACTGGCTGTAGGCCAAGGCAGCTTCCCCAAATGGCTCCATTCATAAGTAAAGGAATGCTACAGGCAAAATCCATTCAGGAGAAAAATACTTCAAAATCCCTTGCAGCAAAACTTACAGCTAACAACAGCAAAGCAATAGAAGCTAACACGAGACATCAGACAAATAGAAATTGCCAAACACTCCTTAAGAACACAAAGCCCACATTGCACAAATCCCAGAACTTCAAAGTCACAAAACCACATAAGAATCCTTCCACTCTCCATCTCCCTCCCTCGTGCCTCACCTCCAGCCATTGGTGCCTTTTTTCATTCCTCTTGGAGGGTGACCCCTCCCCCACTGCATTTCTTGCCTGTTTGCTGCTGCCAGCACAGGTGGCTGCCAAAGCAGTTGTAGATCAGCTCATGGCCAGCCTGCTTGATTCTTCCTCCTCCTTGATTCCTCCTCCGTGTAGCTGACTGCACCTCCTCCCAAGGTTGCTGCTTTTTCTCTCTCTCCCTCTCCTGCCCAAACTGCCTCCTTTTATAGCCTCTCCTGTCTCCACCCCCTCCTCCTTTCTCATGGGGGAGGGTGAACCAGAAGTGAGCCTGGGGCCTTTGCAGCTCCAGAAGACTCTCTCACTGTAAGTCCTTGCCTGTGCTGGCTCTTTCCCTCCCCTACTACACTTGGCTAGGCAGGGCTGCGTACCACCTGCCACTCATTAATGTACCACAAGTGGTACATGTACCACCGGTTGAAAAGCCCTGCAGTAGATAGTTGCCCATTGGTTGCTCTACATAGATCATTTGTAAAGCCACCAGATACGGCAATCCATATGATCACCAAATGACAGCAGAATGAATTTTCTGTATCTCCTTGCTATCAACTAATGATGGTACAGATCCTTTCACACCAGATCTGGTATCTTTATAATTTTTTATGAGATCCAACCAATTCTTCAAAAACATCGAACAATGTACATTATAACATTCTAATATTATTTTCATTTTCTTTTGCAATTAATAGTGCTGTTGCTGCTGCTGTGCTGGCCATTTGATTTGTTAGTGACTCAAAGGCATCCCTTAGTTCTGGGGTCAATAATAACAAAGGTATTTGCCAATGTCATTTAATCTGGCCTTCATAAATCAATCATTTTGAAACAGCTGTAAAGCTCCGGATCAAGTGTGAAAACTATTGGTTTATAAGGTCACCAAAGCAAATTTTAAAATCTCTACCGTTCCAAATACAAATTCATGCACAAGCCATCATTTTCTCATGTTCTAAAGCTGAGTGTATATCATGAGCCATTTAATATTGTGTAACTACAGGAATCCTCTAGAATATGATTATGGCGATGCCCTGAGCAGCTGCACCAAAATGTCAAAAGGGCTTACACAGCTGACATAAGCTATTCAAAACAGAATATGGCAGCACCTCCATAAATTTTCTTGCTCCAGCTAAGCCTGCTTAATTTAGCTGTACCATATGTTTCAATCCTCCCTCACTCTTCCTGAAGCATCATCTAAGACAGAGCTGTGTTATTCTCTCTGACGGAGGGGAAAAAAATACAAACACCTAGGAACACTGAAGATTTTTTCATAAGGCTGCCAAAGGAATTACTATCCTTTTTACTACTTCGGGTGGTTGTTGTTTTTTTCCCCAAGTACTTGCCCCCGTGGTTATTTTTATCAATAAAGAACATGTCTGAGCTCAGCCAAAACTCTGACCAAGAGGACTTCTGTTCGGGAGAGATAGATGAAGATGAAATCTTAGCAAACCTCTCTCCTGAAGAACTGAAGGAGCTACAGTGTGAAATGGAAGTCATGGCTCCAGACCCCAAAGTGCCAGTCGGAATGATACAGAAGGATCAGACGGAAAAAACACCGACAGGAAACTTTGATCATCGATCTCTTGTTGATTACCTGTATTGGGAGAAGGCCTCCAGAAGAATGCATGAGGATGAAAGGGTACCTGTCACGCTATTACCTTCAGAGGTAAGGAGCAGGAAATGCAAATATTCTGTGTACAGGTTCTATTCCATATTTTATCACAGGGTTTGATCAGCACCTGCTAACATGCTGCCATTTCCAATAAATAGCATTTTAGCAGATGTGCATACTTTAAAAGAGGTTTTAGAATATTTTTTGCATGTAGTAAATCAGGGGTCCCCTACCCCAGGACCGTGGACCAGTAGCATGCCAGCAGCATGCCAGCAACCAGGCTTCAGAAACAAGCAAAGCCCCATCTGGGGATGCAAGCAGCACACAAAACCACGCACCCTCCAGTCCATGGAAAAACCTCTCTCCATGGAACTGGTCCCTGGTGCCCAAAAGGTTGGGGACTTCTGTAGTAAACTAAGACATACTAATGTTATAATTTATTATTCCTGCACTAAACAGCAGGTTCAACCTGCAAACCTTTCCTGGCTCTATATTTTTATGGTTCAGGTAACTTTATGGATCCCTAGGATAAAATGTACATCTCCAGTCTGGTTGAATAATAATAAAAAAAGAACTTAAACAGAACAGTCTAAAATACATGATATTCTACTACTTACCTGATACAAAAATATAAAAAACTATTATCTATTAAATAATCTTGAAATCCCAATCCAACCAACCTATTATATTAATAATTAAAATTCCAAAATGCTTTTTTTTATTAATTTTATTGTATTTATATTCCTGTTTACCTGGGCAGCTGAATAAATTTGTTTAATAAAAATAGCAATAACAATAGCAATAGCATATACCGCTTCACAGTGCTTTGCAGCCCTCTCTGAGCAGTTTACAGAGTCAGCGTATTGCCCCCAACAATCTGGGTCCTCATTTTATTGACCTTGGAAGGATGGAAGGCTGAGTCAACCTTGGAGTTCGAACCAGTCAGGATCGAACTCTGAGCTGTGGACAGAGTTTGCTTGCAATACTGCATTCTAACCATTGCACCACTATAATGACTAGCTATTAGATTAATTAAATTATGCAAACTAAAATGTTTCTTATATGGAGAAGAATATTTTACAAGATTTTTATCAGACCAAGCCAGGAAAATTTGGAGGGGGGGGATTCATAAGGACCTAATAAAGCCTATCCTCCACAAAGAGCCAAATGAACTTGCCTAAACCATAGTATCTGGACCTTCTTTCAGTATCTTCTGATATGTCTGACTTCATCTCCCATGAATTTCCTAAGTGTGTGGGCTACAACTCCCAGAATTTATCAGCAATGATCAAACTGAATAGAGAATTCTAGGAATTGAACACCACATATCTGCAGGTTGCTATGGTTTGGCAACATTGACTTAGTTCCTTAGAGAAAATGATATACAAAGTGTTGCACTTTCTAGGTTGTTTCTAATTTGTTTGATGTGTTTCAACTATTGTCTTATGGTTTAACATCAGTGAAACACCGGATATCAGTACAGAGAAAGTTGGGTGTTAAAGTGAAGTCTGAGAGCAAAATGGTGTCTTTCTATTACTGCTCATTTAGGCTAAGAAATCACACAGCATGAGCATAAGGGTGTAGCTTTGCTCAGTGCTTCAACCAAGTGCTGCAAATATTATGCTGTACCACATCAACTTTTTGAATGGCAAGCCAGAAAGGTGGTTGAGTCTGAGGAGACTCAATTGCAGAAAATGGTTAAAAAAATAAAAAAGAGAGAGAGAAATATACATATATAGAATTTCTGAATATGAAAAGCCAAGGGATTGTTGTAGTAATAACATACACTGATGTGCTAGAAAAATGTACCAGTAAAAACAGAAGCACATTGAAAATCTGCTGCAAAGATAGTAATTTTTTTAAAAAAAATAATCTTGTCACTAAAGGCATATATAGATATAGCAAATAAAACATTAACTAATACAGTCTGTTGGGGGGAACACAGGTAAAACAATAACCAAATGCTTTTCCCAAACAGTAAAAATCCATTAGACAGGATGCTTTTAAAAAAAAAAAAAAATCACGAAGTAGCTCCAGAGAGGCACATCATATGTATAAATGAATGGATAATAGGAATTCCTGCATATTCATTCCACGCACTTGTAAAGCACTAGTGGGGATGCTGAGTCTCAGAACTTCAGTGTAAAGTATTTTCTTTGCAATGCAGACAGCAGCAAATATTTAAATTTAAGTGTTTAAATCTTCATAATATTTAGATAAATATCATGTAAGTATCGCACAAGTCAGCTTTCTTTACATTTCATGACCTAGAGCAGGGGTAGGCAACCTTGGCTCTTTTATGACTCGTGGACTTCAACTCCCAGAATTCCTGAGCCAGAATGGAGAATAGAGAATGGAGAATAGAGAAAGGCTGAGGGATGTGATTTATCTTCAGAAGGCTGAGAAGGGCAGTAGACACAATTGAGCCCAAAATTTATGTTGCTAGGTGAGAAATTTGTTAAGTGAGTTTTGCCCCGTTTTACGACTTTTTTTGCCACGGTTGTTAAGTGAATCACTGCAGTTATTAAGTTAGTAACAAGGTTGTTAAGTGAATCTGGCTTCCCCATTGACTTTGCTTGTCAGAAAGTTGCAAAAGAGGATCACATGACCTCGGGATATTGCAATTGTCATAAATATGAAGCACTTGTCAAACATCCAAATGGAAATCCCATGACCATGAGGATGTTGCAATGGTCATAAGTGTGAGAAAATGGTCATATGTCACTTTTTTCACTGGCGTTGGAACTTCAGACGGTCACTGTTGTAATTTGAAGACTATCTGTAGAACATAGGAAATAGTGTAGATATATTTTACAAAAATGGGTATCAGTGAGGGCAAATGTGTTTGATTTTGACCTGAACACTTTGGATAGGCAGGCAATCAACAGAGATATCAAAGGATTGGTGAGTGACTCTCAGCCAAAATAAGAAAGATTTCACAAATTCCCAAGAAAAGGCTGATACTAGAATTATCAGAATATGTAATGTAGAATACAATTAGAATCTTTCACCTGGCCCTGAGAAAATCTTGTCCCAAAGGTGTTTTTTCAAAAGGCAACAGGATAGAAAAAAACATAGTAGACTTGATTTTGCGATGGAAATAAGTTCACCTCACACTCCTTTTTCTTATGAAGTAATTCTTATATTAAAGCATAATAAAATGGATGAATACTATAAGGGATGTTTTATATTATTTCTCTTTTCCAAACCAGTCTTAGTAAATGACGTTTGGGGGTTCTAAGTGATGATCCCTCCATCCAGCAGATGGGGAAGGAAAAAAGATTGTTGGAAGAGCAGGGAACAAGAATGAAAAATTACATCAGAAGTCTTCAAACTTGGCCCTTTTATGACTTGTGAACTTCAACTCCCAGAATTCCTCAGCCAGGCACGCTGGCTGAGGAATTCTGGGAGGTGAAGTCCACAAGTCATAAAAGGGCCAAGTTTGAAGACCCCTGAATTACATCATGGGTTTTTCCAAATGATATGCATATTTCAAAAGGGGGCAAGAGCGAAAAGACACATAAACCAGGCTCAGGTTTTTTATTCCACATAGTATAAATCAGACATGTCAAACACAAGGCCCGGGGGCCAGATGCGACCCACGAAATGGTTTCATGTGGCCCGTGAAGCCATCCTGGGAACAGTGAGGGAACAGCCCCCACTGCCTTGGCCCTGGCCCAGGCCGGCCGGGAGCCAATGTACAATTTTGTGGTGGCCATCTATGCTGAAATGCATTCAGCCTTAGCTCCACAAGGCTGTCCAGAAACAGCAAGAAACCAGCCCCTGCTGGGTTGGCCCTGCCCCCTGGGTGCATGCTGGGGAAGTGTCAACCTTTGTGGGAATGAAGAAATGGACCAATCCCACCTCCTTCTGCCAGAGACCCTCAGATCTGTCCCACTTCTGCCCAGGTCACCACAGGCACCCTTGACGCGAACGATGTATAGCTGGCCACGCCCACCCAGTAGGCCACACCTACTCCATTCACGCCCACCCAGTAGGCTGCACCTACCCTGGCCATACCCACCCAGCCCCCCAAGGGCAACCGCAATGCTGATGAGGCCCTCAATGAAATTGAGTTTGACACCCCTGGTATAAATAGTCTGTCTCTTCCATCTATACATATTAGGTCCAATGGCTTATCATAAAGTATGGCCTAAAGAAAACCCAGTATTGTAGACTGGACCAAAAAGTATCAGAATGACTATTTGGTGCAACTCCGATTCTTAGACCATTATTTTTTTTAATTCTTCTTTAGATGCCTGATTATTACACAGTTTTGTCAGTCCTTGTTACAAAACTAGGTTGATGTGTGCAAAGGCAAAAAAAATAGTTACTCCTCATTTTTTTAATATAGGAAAGACAGTTGTGCAGCATGTAAACCTGCATTTTGTTGACAAGAGAGTTAGCACAAAGGCCACTGAAATGTAGTTTCAGAAAAATAAAGTAGACTTAGGGAGTGGCATAATTTAGGGCTGTAGTTTATACAGTGTCCAAAGTCACTGAATTCCAGTAGAAAATAACAGTAGGAGGAAAACTGCTATGTTGAATAAATTCCTATTGCTATCTTGAATCCTTAGACCTTTGTTCATCAAAATGGGGTTTTTTGGAGGGGTGAGGGAATGGATGCCAACATAAGCGCCACATGGCTTAGGGGCAGGCTACCTATATTCCATTACACTGGCCCATCCCATCCAGTCAGGCAGAAAAGATATGTTGCAGACCCCAAATTCTGCTGCAAGGTCTAGGAAGGGAGCCTTCTCTGCTATTGCCCCCACCCTGTGGAATATTCTTTCCCTGGAGGTGAAGCAGGCTCCCACTCTCCTGGCCTTCCAAAAAGGAGTCAAAACATGGCCCTGTGGCCTTATATGGAGACCCTAGAGGATCACATAGCTCTGGGGCAGGCTGATGCCCTGACAGCTCTCCCTTCACCTTTTAACTAATTTTAACAGTGTTTAATCATCCTTGCCTCCTTCCAAATTTTTAAGTTTATATATTGTCCTTATATAACATTTTATTGCATACTGCCCAGAGTCCCTCTCAAAGAGAGATTTTGTCTGAAATAGTATAGGGTTTCCTGCTTGCGTAGGGGGTTGGACTAGGAGATCTCCAATGTCTCTTCCAAATCTGTTATTCTGAGATGAGTAATTCAAAAATGTGAAAAATAAAGGCTTAATGCAAATTATAGTAACACAGAAGTATATTACAGTGCCTTTTGAACTTGTAAATCTTCCTAATAGAAAAACAAATTCATCACCTTTCTAAGTCTTGGTCAAATGATGTGGTAAAACTATTTAAAATTATTTCAGCTCTTAGCATTTTGTTTTTATAGAGACCCATCAGAGAACACCCTGAAGAAAATGTTGCCAATAGTAGCAATGAAAAACCAATGGCCAGTAATGCTGCAAATGAAGATATAAAGGATTACAAAGAGAACAATCAAATGGATGAGGAAGAGGAAGAAGTAGAAGAGGAGGAGGAGGAAGAAAAGGAAGAAGGAGAAGAAGAAGAAGAAGAAGAGAAAATAGAAGAATCAGAGAACAAAGATATGGAAACAAAAAAATTTCATGAGAATGGCAAGAGCACCCAGGAAACTAAAGGATCATGCACAGAATCAAGTGAAAAAGAAGGAGAAAATGAAAAGAAAATTTCAAAGCTAAATATTCCCAAAAAATTAGCTCTAGATACTAGTTTTATTAAATTAAGTGCACGGCCTTCAGGAAATCAAACTAATTTAGAAGGGAGTCTCGAAAGAGTCCGGAGAAATGATCCAGAAATGACAGAACTCAACTTAAACAACATTGAGAACATCCCCAAGGAGATGCTAGTGGACTTTGTCAATGCCATGAAGAAGAACAAGCACATCAAAACATTCAGCTTAGCCAACGTTGGGGCAGATGACAATGTAGCTTTTGCCTTGGCCAACATGCTGCGTGAAAATAGGAGTATCACCACTTTGAATATCGATTCCAATTTCATCTCAGGTAAAGGGATTGTCGCCATCATGAGATGCCTTCAGTACAACGAGAAGCTTACAGAACTACGTTTCCACAATCAGAGAAGCATGTTGGGTCATCAGTCAGAAATGGAGATTGCCAGGCTCCTGAAAGCCAACCCTACACTTCTTAAGATAGGCTACCACTTTGAACTTCCAGGACCCAGAATGGTGGTCACTAATCTCCTTAGTAGAAACCTTGATAAGCAGAGACAGAAAAGGATGGAGGAGCAAAAACTGCAACAGTTAAAGCAGCAGAAAGAACTCATCGCTATGTTGGAGAACGGACTTGGGTTGCCTCCTGGGATGTGGGAATTGCTAGGGGGACCAATACCGGCTTCAATGATGCCTCTTTCAGTGCAGCCTCCAGTGACGCTGGTTCCCAAGGCTCCATCGATTGGCCGAAGAGAGGAACCTGCTAGAAGAGAAGAGCCGGATAAGGAAAGCAGTGGTGACCTTCCCGCTTTCAAGATAGTGAAGCTCAAGAGAGTCCAGCGCAAACCTTCTATCCAGGAATATGTAGAGCCAGCTGAAAAAACTAATCTCAAAGATGTGATTAAGACCCTAAAACCTATTCCAAGAAGACGGCCCCCTCCTTTGGTGGAGACCACTCCAAGAGACAAGCTACTTAAAGATATTCGTCAGAGTAACGTAGCTTATCTGAAACCGGTAAGTATGGAGTGGCCGGAGGATGAAGGAATGTCTTGCAGTCTTGGCTGTTTACTTGATTGCTGCTCTTAGAAAAGGCAGAATTGACAGCTGATAAAATGTGATTAGTATTGACAGGTAGTCCTTGGTTTACGATGGTAATGCAACATGCCTATTACTGTCATGTGGCAATGGTCATAAAGCAGGTCATCATGTGGCTGGACCTGTTTTACTTCCTTTTTTGCAATGATTGTTAAATGAATGCTGTGATCATTAAGCAAATCCATTGGTTGTTGTTTTTTTTACTAAAAACTGGAAGTAAAAGTCAGGTTTGGGCAAAAAATATTGTAAATCACCATCACATGATCACGTGCAAATGGTTGAAATGCCAATTTGCCAAGCATCTGAAATGTACGGCCAGCCATCAGAACTTCAGAACTGGGTTGTAAGTATTTTTGGGGATGGGGGGGGTCTGTTGGTAACTTTGGGCAGTTGCTGCTGGTTGTAAGTCAAGGACTACCTGTAAATGCTTTTCTCCTTCACAAAACTATTCAGTTTTAATTATTATACAATTTCTTTGCTTTAGCACGGAGATAAACAGCTTCATACTCTTCAGGAAGTTTGGATTTCAGCTTCCATCATAGCCACAGACAACAGATTATGGAAACCACATTTCCAAAATTCTGGGAGGGGAGGAGGCACCAGCAAAATGACTACTAATTCCCCCAATTTCTAATTGTAAACGTGGGTAAACGTTTACAAGGATAAGTAAGGGGGAGGGAAGCATTTTGTTGCCATCATTACTAAATCATTATAAGTAAACACAAACAGAAACCCTACTGATCTCCCACAGATGATTTAGAAATCTATTATCTGCTCCTGATTTATGTTCTGCTCAGCCATAGAGCCATTTTACAACTATAACTTTAGAAGATAAAACTGACCTTTTCATATGCACCTGCTCATAACTGTACTTGGCAGAATAAATCTTTCTTTGACTAGAATCAGAAATAGTCCATGCAGACAAGCATTCTGTAATGCTTAAATGGCTTTCTATGTGTTGGCCTGTGATCTTAGGAACATTCTTGTCAAGGGGTGAATACTCAATAGAAACAAGGAGGCTTAGTAAGTTTCTAAGTTGCCCATCAATGGTGACTTCTAGCGTAAGGTAATCTGGTAACAAAAAATGATACTACAACATTTTATAAGTATTTCTAATAGCATTATATTGGCTTCAACTTAAAGTACTTGAAGTACATATCTCTGCGTTTCATGCATGCACCTGCACACACTCAAGGAAGTAGATAAAATAAAATTAACATTTTGCTGCTTCACCTGGTTTGATCTTTCCTTCTCTAACCACTGCACTTGAGAATGTTTACAAATCCTTCAAAGTTGGGATGAGGCTTCTTAAATGCCATCTACTGAAAGCACTGTAGGACACGAGGTGCATTTTCTGCCACAATCCCTTCTCATTTACACAGCAGGCTGGATTTCATACCGAACCAGCTCTGGATTCAGTGTCTCTCTTTTGATTGATTGGGATGCCTCAGAAGCTCTCACTTGAGACAAGGCCAGTATGTTGCACCTGTTAATGAGCGAAGTCATTCCCAGTAAATTACGCCACCCTCAGAAGTGCAGATATAAGTTTCCAAGATCCAAGCCAAAGCTGTATATACTACAGCTAATGGTAGTTCTTTGCACTATGGCATTATGGGTAAATTATCTTTTCAAAAGAGAAAATGTAGGAAAATCCTAGTCAGTTTCAAATGTGATTGATCAATTGATTGGTTTACCTTCTGCCTTTATTATTTGTATAAATAACTCAAGGTGGTGAACATACCTAATATTCTTTTCCCCTCCTACTTAACCCATAACAGCAACCCTGCGAGGTGGGTTGGGCTGAGAGGAAATGACTGGCCCAAGATCACTCAGTCAGCTTTCATGCCTAAAGCAGGACTAGTACTCACAATTTCCTGGTTTCTAGCCTGGTAAAGTCTAGACATAATGAAAAAACAACAACCACCAGAGCAGGAATTGCAAGTCAAGCCTAGAAAATATAAATGTTTAGTAATGAGTATAAGACAAAAACTGCATTGAGATAAAGACTTTGTCACATTTTGACACAGATTTGGATGTAATCAAGTTAAAGTTCTAACTTTTGTGTTGAATGGGGGGGGGATCAGTACATTAGCTGGGAAGAACAAATATGTAATTTATTTTATAATTTACAATTTATTCTAAATATGCATAGAGACAATACATTTCTACTTGCATATGAGAAGAACTGACATTATTAACATTTTCTTGTTTGTCAGATTCTTTTGGAAAATCTAGTTAAGTGTTACCTAAAACAGGAATTTCATTGAGCTACATCTGACCAAAAGTGATGACAACTATTATATTTTTTAAAAAAGCTATCATTCCCCTGTGTGTGTAATATATACTGTCCGTAAAATACCATAAATGAGACAAAAAGACAAATATAAGTGCATTGGAATGTTTTTCAACTTCTAGCTGCCTATGAAATAGGAAAAGAAAACGAGGTTAAGGATTTTTACCAGATACATAAAATGTGATGAGATTCCAGAATGTTGCCTCCCTGATTTATTATGTCACTTGCATTCAATAAGGTAGGAACTTTGTTGTGCAACGGAAACATAGTTTGGTGTGGGATACCAGAGCAAAGATTTTATTTTTGGAACAGCAAAATCCTGAGTTGCTGAATAGCATTTTTCTGCAACCAAGTTACTTTCAAGAAAAATAGCTTCACTATATGTTTTGCTGAATAAGAGCTGCTTTGTTATGTTTTGCCGGAAAGCAAGTCAAGAAATGGTTTTCAACTTTACCGTGTCTTTTGCAATGTATATGCTGTTTCTATCATTTAAAAGCTTTCTCTCTGGCCGTTCCCTTCTCCAATTCATGCATTTTATTACAATTCCCACAGGTACCTGTTCCCAAAGAGTTGGAATAAACCACCCCATTCTGCTGAAGGAACAACTAGAAAAATGACCAGACTATCCAAGCGTTGCTTCAGAGGGTTTCAGGAATTGATTCCTTCAGTTGGGTGTCTTGAAAGCATGGGAACAATGTTTAAAGCATGCGGTCTGTTGAAGTGATGATTGCTGACTTTCGATCTCAAGCAACCAGATGTATTTTTATTTTGGGGAGAGGCAGAAGTGGAAAGGGCTAGTTCACCTGTCTCTTTTAATCATTGTGCCATCATGGTCATCAGGTCTTCAGTAAAACGTACTGTCTCCCCATGACCTTCTTTCCAACATTTTACAGAAGCACATTGGGCATCCTATTGTGGTATTGTTTCATTCTTCCATTCATCTGAAGTTGTGTGGCATACCTGCCAGTTTTAAAACCATATCCTTTTGTTAATCACAACTAATTTTATTTTTATTAGATGAAGTATGTTACAAGAGAAATAAACAGCAACTTTCAGATGAATATATTTATCCTTAACTTGAGGTAACTGCTGTGGATATTGTATAAATACTGCCTACTATATATTTAGAGTAGGGGCTTCTCTTCTTAAAATGAGTGTTCTTTTTTAAGCTTTCTGGATATCACATCTTTAGGTCAACAGTAGTAACTATGATAACAACCTGGCTCAACACTAGTAAATGCAAAAGGGATCTATGCGTTCTAATGGACACCACTTAAGTATGAACCATAAGTGTGCTCCAACTGCCAATAAAGTCCCAGATTGTATCAACAAAGGGACATCAAGATCACAAGAAGTGACAGAATCAGTCAATATTGCACTAGTGAGGCCACACTTGGAATACTGCATTCAGTTATGGTCACCATGATACAAAAAAAGATGCTGAGAAAAGTGCAGAGAAGAGCAAGATGATAAGAAGTCTGGAAGCTTGGCTCTTTTATGACGTGGACTTCAACTCCCAGAATTCCTGAGCCAGCACGGCTCAGCTTGGAAACCTCTCCCTTTCCCCTCAGCATGGCTGGCTCAGGAATTCTGGGAGTTGAAGTCCATGAGTCATAAAAGAGCCAAGGTTGCCTACCCCTGGTCTAACCTAACAAAGAGAAGGATTAGGAGTGATATAATAGCTATCTTCCAGTACTTGGGGAAGTCACAGAGATGAGGGGAGGTCAACCTATTCTCCAAAGCCCCTGTGGGCAGGACAAGAAGCAATGAGTGGAAACTTGTTAAAGAGATACCCAATCTGGATATCTAAGGAAAAATTTCCTGAAGTGAGAACAATTAACCAATGGAACAGCTTGCATCCCGGAGTTGTGAGTGCTCCATCCTTGAAGATTTTCAAGAAAAGATTGTACAGCCATTTGTCTGGGATAGAATAAAGTCTTCTGCCTTGGGCAAGCATCTGGACTAGAAGACTTCCAAGGTAGCTTTTGTGGGTGATAGAACTGGGCAGTCTTGACTGGGAATTTTCCAACACTCAGGGATATTTTTGACAAGAAACATTCCATCAGCTCCATTTCAGGCACCACACTACATCAGTAGTGTAAGGAGCTAGTTTTTGTTTGTGACCTTGTCCGCAAGTTAGAGGCAAACAAGCATATAAGGTAGAATTGCAGTAAGAGTTACGAATAGAAGGTAGAGCAAAAAAAAAAAAATGGATAACCACTAAATTACAGATAGTCCTTGAGTTACAGCCACAATTGAGCCCAAAATTTAAGTTGCTAAGCGAGACACTACTTTAGTGAATTTTGTCCCATTTTATGACCTTTCTTGCCAATTATTAAGTGAAGCACTGCAGTTGTTAAGTTAGTAAAATGGCTGTTTGGTGAATCTGGCTTCCCCATTGACTTTGCTTGCAAGGTCACAAAAGGGGATCACCTGACCCAGGGACAGTGCAACCGTCATAAATAGGAGTCAGTTACCAAGCGCCCAAATTTTAATCACATGGCCACTGGGATCCTCAATGGTCATAAGTGTGAAAAATGTTCATAAGTCGGTGCCGTTGTAACTTTGAACAGTCATTAAATGAACTGTGGCAAGTCAAGGACTACCTGTAATTTCCCATATCTAGTCATCAGCCTAGAACTGACAGCCTTAGGCACTAAACCAACATCAGCAAGTTTCTAAGCATGATATATATTTTTTATAAATCTAGACAAATGGAGTTTAGTTTCATGTTTCTTGATTGATTAATTAGGTGATTGCATGTCATCCCGTTGTTGTCAACTCTTAGTGACCCCATAGTTTTCTCTATGGCAGTTTGCCCCTCATACCAGATCCTTCAGCTTTTCCAACAAAGCGCTCATCATTACTGTAAAAGCATCCATTCATTTTGCTGCATATTTTCTTTCTTTCTTTCTCTTTTTCTTCTTTCTTTCTTTCTTTCTTTCTTTCTTTCTTTCTTTCTTTCTTTCTTTCTTTCTTTTTTCTTTCTTTCTCTCCTTCTTCTTCTTCTCCTTCTTCTTCCTTTCACCTTTCCCAGGATTAGACCTTTTTCTACAGAGCTCTTTGCATGGTGTAACAGAAGTAATTCTGTTATAATTCAAGGATAATTCAAGCCTAGTCATTTGTGCCTCAATTGAGAACTCTGGATTGATTTGTTCAATGATCCATCAGTTTGTTTTCTTGGCTTTCTGTGGTATCCTCAGGAGTTCTCTGTAACATCAAAGTTCAAAAGCATCAATACTTTTCCTATCCTGTTCAACCTTCACTTCCATAGAGTGTCAGAGGGAATACCATGGTTTGCATGACTCAGATTTTAACTGATCAAAAGATGTTAGCCATCGCCTTGTTTCTTAATGCCTATGATACATCTGCGGTTAATCACAGATACATCTGCAGGATGCATCTGTGATTAATCACATCTCCCAAAGAACAGGCAGGCATGACAGGAAATTTCAAGAATAAAGTGGGCAGTTATCAAGCAATCACAGTTACCGTGTCTTAAGGCAATAATCCGTCCCATGCACTGCTTTATTATTTTGTGTTTTTAAATATGTATTTTATCCAAATTAGGTACAATATTTGGGCTACCTGATCTGTGCTGTAAAAATCCATATTATATTGTTGATGGCATTTTGGATTCCAAATTGTTGTCATCTAGTTCTGGTAGCCCAACATAATATTAGCTTCTCCCCAAAGGCAAATAAAGCAGTGGTGAAAGAACCATTTAATATGCAACAAATAACCAACAATAACTCAAATCAAAACAATCTGAGGCTATGAGCTTTATTCAGTCTCTAAGAAAATCTAGCAAAGAATCCAAAAGTGAAGTTAAAGTCTGTAACAGGGGTCTTCAAACGTGGCCCTTTTATGACTTGTAGACTTCAACTCCCAGAATTCCTCAGCCAGGCATGCTAAGTTTGAAGACCCCTGGTCTACAGTTAACAACTTCTCCAACAAGTCTAACATAACTATTCTTCTCCTTTTCACTTGGTTTTAGCACATGCGCAATTTATTCTAAGACCAAATATGGAGGTTCTCTTCTTTGGAATTTTGCTCTGATAACAATTCCATAGGAATAGCTTGGTAGCATTAACTTTATAGAGAACAGTAATACAAAAGCCTGAAAGGATCTCCTCTATCTTAAACTGATAGAGTAACTGTACCAATGGCAAATATCAATAATGGGGTGCCTGTTAATTATTTATTGGAACGATGTATTTCAGAGACACGTCTATTTAAATAAGGACAGTAAGGGAACATTGTTCAAAATTATAGTAGCATTTATACGTACTAAACACAATTTTATTATTTCGTAATTTAATTAAAATGACAAAGCTGTAGACTAAACCAAACAATTGGAAGAGCCAAGGCATGGTAAGATAACAAGCAAATCAAGCGTAGGCTGCTAATCTTTAATGCTGGAAAATATTCACACATTCTCCACCAAATAATCTCTTGTATTTTACAGGTAGCTTTACAAGCCTGCATGTAATAAATAAAATGTTACAATTTTAGTTCCAGTTCCAAAAAGAGAAGATAGGGATAGGGAATTACAGAGCTAACATTAGTTAATATCAGTCTCACAAACAGAAAATTGGATGAGTTTCTTTTCTACTACTATTTGCAGCATAAATAAATCTACAATGTTGCATGTAAGTGGAACAGAAAAGGTAAGGAAGGAGTTTGTGGTATTTTAAATATTATTTATTTCTCTTGCACAAAATTTAAATTAAGTGTCATTATGCAATATTAACAAACACTGAGATTTGGTTTTCCAGTCATATACTCAGTAAAATTCATAATTCTATGTGATGGCAGATCTCAAGCCTGACAATTACTAAATATTATTACTAAAAGCATGTATAATACCTGGATGTGGGCATGCACAGAAAATCATATTCCTCTTGTTACAAAATCTGCTCCTAACACTACAATTCTTCATATGCATACAGAAAGAAGGAATGTTGTTGGCTAGATGTTATCTGTGTAAGCTTGCAATTCATGCTGGGGGGAAAAGGGTTCACCTATTGAATAGGAGACAGATTCAAATATCCCACAACAAAACGGGCATATCATACTTCTAATTGTAGGTCTCTATTTCTCCATAGGTAAACCACATCCCACTCAAAAGATGCACCAGGATATACATAATTTGGGTTTATTTTTGCACTCAAAAGTAGTAGTTTGGATATGTGCAGTAGCACACAGTTACGTTGCTTGAAGGTAAAAACAATACTGTGCATTTAGAATTGCCACAAAATATGCAGTTTCGAAAATACTTAACATAGAGAGAAAAGAATCTGAAAGAAGTTAAGTCTACATTTCCACACTAGTGAGTGCTGTACATTAACCAACGCATTTGTATCTCAGACACTTTTGACAGGTTATAAATGGGTTACTACCACCCTGTGCAAAGGAAACTCAGAAGAGTTGGGGTGTTTTATTTTGCCATACTTCACTCTTGCAGTCTGTATCGACTTTCACTCACAGACTGAGAAAGGGTGTTGGACAAAATGAACATGCAACCTGCATGTTTAATCCTTTGCTTTAGCCAGGTAATCAGCTAGTTTGGAAATGGTCTCCTCCTGTTGTTCAAGAAGATCCAGGATAATGCCCATGGGAGTCTTCTTTAAGCCGATGCTTTCTATCTTGTTCTCCATCTTGTTCTTTAAATTTCGAAGCCTGAAGGATGCATGAAGAAACATCACTAGGGAAAGGAAAGCAACAGTAAGCACAAGTGTTCTTCACTAGATAACTGGTGAAAAGATTGAACTGCAGCCAACAACACTGCCCTATTGACGTACTATGTTAAAGCAAGATTTTTTTTAAAAAAAAAATCATAATTGGTCAACTAAGCCACAATAGCCTAAGCTATAAACCCTGGTTTATTAGCCATAAAGATGCATTCATACATTAAGTCAAAAAAACAAATATAATAAGCAAATATAACTGATCTGTGAAGCTAGTTAATTTTTTTATTGAATTTCAGAGTTGTCATATAACACGCTAAGTCTTAAAATGTTTTGTTTAGTTTGGCATTCTTAACATCCTGTATGAACCCAGCCATTGAATCTTGTGAACTTAAAGTTCATGGTTTAGTGTACTGAATTTACCAAACCAGTTGTGGTTTATTGAATATTAATGGTTTCAATATCATAGCTTAACATGATATATCAACCTTGTCATTCAATATACTCAATTTCCCCCCCCTCCAAATTTAATTAGTTTATCAAAATATAATATGAATGCAAAATACAAAAGAAAATAATGGGAAAATAAGGGAGGAAAAGGGAAAGAGAAAAGTGTAGGGCAAGAGGAAAAAGAAAGAAAAAAAGTGTTGACTTCCAACTCCTTTTGCTGCAGTAGAATAAAGTAACAGCACCAAACCTCAATTTTTTACTGTTATATCATGATATAAACTAGTCATTTCAATAACAACAAGCCTATCTAATCAGCAAAATCCAAAATCAAAGTTTTATTTTTTTTTTCACTTCAAGCACAAAATCCAGAAGTGGTTTCCAAGTAGTCATTCGATATACTCATAAGGAATAATTATATATTTGTGAGAGAGTCCTTATCCTGGATTAATAGTAAAACAACAGAATTAATAGCCTCTTGTTCAGATTGAAATTATGATGTATTAGTAAATCCTTTCTAAGACTCCTATAGTATTAGCCCATTTTTTGCTAATCTATCTACTGAGAAAAACAAAATCCACTTAGGACCAAAAAATCTCTTTATGCATGTATACACACAACGTAAAATTCATATTTTTCAGTACCTTGATTCTGAATGCAGAGATTATTAATTTTTTTTCTGCTGGTGATGGAGCTCTGCAATTTAGCTTAGTCCAATTATTAAATAATAATAATAATAATAATAATAATAATAACAACAACAACAACAGTAGTAGTAGTAGTAGTAAAGTTGGAAGGGACCTTGGAGGTCATCTAGTCCAACCCCCTGCTCAGGCAGGAAACCCTATACCAGTGGTGGCGAACCTATGGCACACATGCCAGAGGTGGCACTCGGAGCCCTCTCTGTGGGAACACGCGCCATTGCCCCAGCCCCTCCTCCCCCCCTCCTCCCCCTCCTCACCAGCAGCCTGCCTGGAGAGGCTCCTCCAGGCGCAGCCCACAGGGAGCAGCACACCCAAGCACATGGCAGCCGGGCAGCAGGGGCAAAACTCCGCCCTCACACCCCATCATGTGCAGATGATGCTGTGGGGTGCGGACAGAGGGCATGGCTGCCATGGTGCTGCAAGGCTGCCTGGGCGATCTGTGGTAAGTAGCCCTGTGGGTGGGCGGAGCAGGGGGTGGAGTGGGGACAGGCCAGGGGGCAGGCTGGTTTTGGGGCACTTGGTCTCTAAAAGGTTCGCCATCACTGGCTCATACCATTTCAGACAAATGGCTGTCCAGTCTCTTTTTAAAAACTTCCAGTATTGGATCATTCACAGCTTCTTAATGTAATATTAGCTCAGCTAAATGGATATCCAGCCAGAGATGTCCAGCCATCAATCTATGTCCAAAACTCTTGGTGGCAAACAAAATAAAATACTGCTAAACGTGACAGCAGATTTCACAATTAAAACTGTTAAGTCTGCCATCTGGACTATAAATAAAAACCCTGCACCTGAATATCACTAGTAAAAGCATCTACTGATTTCTCTGTATATTTGCAGTTAATGAGAAACGTTTCTTGACACCTAACAGTTTACGGAAAGAAATGAAAGCAGCTGCAGAAGGAACTGACATTCAGTTTTATGCCTGGCTACGGATAATTGTAAGAAAAACTCACAGAACAAAGGAAATGTGATTCCAAATAGAAACACCATGACGCCTCCGAAAAAGGATATCAGGATATAGCTCAGTAACATAATTGCTATGACAAAGGCAGCAGGGTACTGCTTCTTAAACTTGCAAATGAAGTCTTTTTTGTGGGATGCACACACGAAGGCTGTGAAGACCAGGATCACCACAAGGATGCCAAGCAGCATTTTCAGGGGATTCAGGAATCTGCAAAGATATGGGCAATGGTGAATATACCCAAACAAATGATAATGGCACAACAGGACAACCAGCTTCTTTGGATCCAAGCAGAACCACTGAGCCTCTTGGCTTCAGATTCTGAGCTGTGTGGCTGCCTGCACGTTCAGAGTTTCTGTGACTTATGAATACAATACAGATAATCCTCGACTTACAACCATTCATTTATTGACAACAGCACCAAAAAAAGTGACATGACCATTTTTCACACTTGCAAGTATCCTCCTCATGTGATCAAAATTTGAAAGCTTGGCAACTGGTATGTATTTATGATGGTTGGGGTGTTCCAGGGATATGGGATAATCTTTTGCAATCTTCTGACAAGCAAACTCAGTGGGGAAAACAGATTTACGTAAAAACCGTTTTACTAACTTAACAACAGCGGTGATTTACTTAACAGCTGTGTAAAGAAAAGTCATAAAATAGGGCAAAACTCATTAAATAAATAAACCAGGCTTTTGGCAAGGAAGACTAAAACTTCTTCCTAGGCCTTGGTTCCTATCCAGTTTATGATTCTTGCCATCTTCTATATTCTTTTAAAATTAATTTTACTGCAATATTTCCTTGTTTCGATTGTTAAAAGTTGCTGAAACTCACTGGAAGTCAGGAGGAATACAAGTTTGAAAAATAATTAAAATTAAATTGAACAGCAGAATACAAACATTGCATTACAACTCAAATAAATAAAATGATTTTAAAGTTATGTCTATTTCAAACAGCTAAAATGCCCCAGCAAGAAACTATTTAAACCCCAAATAGCAGAAAAGTATAGTTAGTGAATGATTATCTCATATATATATATATATATATATATATATATATATATATATATATATATATATGTTTTCTGAGGTTTTCGCGGGTATTTGTATATAGGTCTTTGGTTGTTCGGGTTTTCTCCCGCGTAAAATTGGAAGTGTCTTGGCGACGTTTCGACGAAGTCCCATTCGTCATCTTCAGGCTGGTGTTTTCAGCTTCTTGCTTTGAGCAGCAATGTGTGGTCTTAGCTGTTTCTTCCTTTTAACTGCCAGTGGGGGTATGAACTGATTGGGTGGGAGCTTGGCTGTGTTCTGATTGGGTGGAGGTGTGTTCTGAATGGTTAGGGGCTTGGCTGTGCTCTGATTGGCTGGGGGAGTGTTCTGTTTGGTTGTGCTCAGGTTAGTCTGAGTTGCAGAGGGGTTTAAGATTTTGGGGTTATGGAGTCGTTTGTCAATAAGGGCGGGTTTCCAAATGGCTGGTAGGCGGGAGGTATCATCTCGCTTGTTCATGCTGTGTGGGCGTTTTTCTATCTCGATGGCTTCTCTGATTATTCTGTTATTAAAATGTTCACTTTTGGCAATGGTTCTGGTATTTTTAAAGTCAATTTCATGTCCTGTGGCTTTAAGGTGTTGGACCAGGGAAGATGTTGGTTCCTCTTTTTTGACTGAGTTCTTATGTTCTTCAATGCGTGCACTTATTCTTCTGTTGGTTTGTCCGATGTATGTGGAGGGACAAGTGGTGCATGGGATTTCGTATACTCCTTGATTTTCTAATTCAATTTTATCTTTGGGGTTTCTAAGGATGGTGGATATTTTTCTGTTTGTGCAGAATGCTGTTTTGATGTTGTGTTTATGGAGGATCTTACTGATTCTGTCTGTGGTGCCTTTTATGTATGGGAGGAGGGCTTTGCCGTTTTCTTGTTCTTTGTCTTGGATTTTAGTGGGGGTTTCTTTTTGGATTAGGTTTGTAATCTTATTTCTATGGAATCCATTGGATGTTAGTATATTGGTGAGAGTGTGTAGTTCGGATTTTAGGTGTTGTTCGTCAGCTAAGCGTTTTGTTCTGGAGATGAGTGTCTTGGCTACAGAGTTGATCTGTGCTGGGTGGTGGTGTGAGAGAGCGTGCAGATAGCGGTTTGTGTGTGTTTTCTTCTGGTAGATGGTGTGTCCTAGGGAGCCATTGGATTTCTTGTAGACTAAGACATCCAGGAAGGGAAGTTGGTTGTTAGCTTCATATATATATGTATATGTATATATACACCAAGTTCCTTGAACTGTCATCTTCAAGTATTTATTCTATTTTCTCTAAAATATCCTGTACAAATGCCAGATGACAAGTCCCATCATCTCTAGCCAGCACAGTTATAGTATAGGTGGTACCTGGCTCAATAATAGTAACTGTGAGAGGGATCTCGGAGTCCTAGTGGACAATCACTTAACTATGAGCCAGCAGTGTGCTGCAGCTGCCAAAAAAGCCAACACAGTGCTAGGCTGCATTAACAGAGGGATAGAATCAAGATTACATGAAATATTACTAACACTTTACAATGCCTTGGTAAGGCCACATTTGAAATACTGCATCCAGTTTTGGTCACCACAATGTAAAAAAGATGTTGAGACTCTAGAAAGAGTGCAGAGAAGAGCAACAAAGATGATCACAGGACTGGAGGCTAAAACATATAAGGAACGGTTGCTAGAATTGGGTATGTCTAGTTTAACGAAGAGAAGGACAAGGGGGGACATGATAGCAATATTCCAATATCTCAGGGGCTGCCATAAAGAAGAGGGAATCAAGCTATTCTCCAAAGTGCCTGAGGGCAGGACAAGAAGCAATGGATGGAAATTAATGAAAGACAAACTAATTTGTCTGAAATGGTATAGGGTTTCCTGCCTGAGCAGGGGTTGGACTAGAAGACCTCCATGGTCCCTTCCAAGTCTATTCTATTCTATTCTATTCTATTCTATTCTATTCTATTCTATTCTATTCCTATTCCTATTCTATTTCTGTTCTGTTCCATTCTTATTCCTATTTCAGACATTTGATTAGGGAAGACTGCACTAGATCCACAAATGACATCTTCCTTATCTGTGTCAAAGGAAATTATAGTTTGACCACTGATTGTGGTTAAACTGTTGGAAAAATTTTGGAAAATAACATCATGATCTATCTTTGTTCAGTCAAATAATGGTATTAAGTCAAGGTAACTCTTATAAAAGCACTTTGCAAGACAAAAAAGAATAGACCACTGCCCTTTTGATTATGCTCATGGTGAAACATCCATAATAATGTTGTACTATGAAGTATATTTGGGTTGTCAATTATGTTCTGGGCAAAAAAAAAAAGTCCTGTTCTAAACTTTCTAATTTGTGAATGAACCATTCTTGCTGTCCAAAGCTAATTCTGGAACATAGCCTGCTATGACATGTCCACTAGTGTTCACTCTTATAAACATCCAATAGGCTTCAATTCATTTTAGATTCATTGTCAAAATATTAGATGCCAAAGATATAGCTGGAATTAGCAAGTATCAGCCACCTTTCCTTCACAACAGTTGTTGACCACCTGCTGTTGTCGCTCATTTGAAATCTCGAGTGTCATACAAAAAACAGTCTCTCTAAATGTCTGAGTCACTTATGGTCAGCGTAGCTATATTTAGAAAAAATAAAAAAAGACTTTCTGGAAATTCTGCCTGGAAAAACTGAACAATTAACTCCAAGCAGAAATCACTGCTGTATTATTTATTTCATAGGAAATGTCGCTCTAAAAAGGTAGTCTTGTACATTGCATTAAATTAAAAAAAAAATTACCGCAATAACTTATTTAAAAGTTAGCTCAAAAATATTAGGCCAAGACTCAGTAGGGAATTAACTGAACACCATGCAAAGCTATCTTTCTGGGACTGCCCAGAGCCTAATCTATGTATACAAGTTTAATCTACACCTAGGGGATGCAATATAGCAAGTAGATAAATGAGTACCACTTTGGTGGGAAAGACTTAGCTGTGTTTGTGAGCGTGGAGAGCAAAGGCTAGCACTTGACCTGGCCGGATGCAAGCCACTGCGACACAATGTGAAGTGAGGAGAGATGGGGGGGGGGAACCCGGAAGAGCCAGCAATCTGAGCCCCACTAGTTGGCTGGTGTAAGCTAGTTTGCCCCCTGTGGTGCACTAAGGATAGGCACACAAGTGCCAAACAGAATGAACTAGCAATCTAGGCCAGTGATGGCGAACCTTTCAGAGACTGAGTGCCCAAACTGCAACCCAAAACCCACTTATGCATCGTCAGGTGCTGGGTGGGCATGGCCCATTGGGTGGGCGTGGCTGCAGTGATAACAGCAGACTGGGTGGAACTAAAAAGTTCAATCAATCAATTCCAACTTTGCAAGATTTTTTTTCCCCCGCGAGAAGTTGAAATTGACTGATTGATTGAACCTTTTTTTTTTGTACACGGCAGTGGAGGCCTAAAGCGAAAAGGTTTTATAAAACCCAGCTGGAGGCCTAGGACTGGGGCGACAGCACACGTGCCCACAGAGAGGGCTCTGAGTACCGCCTCTGGCACCCGTGCCATAGGTTCGCCACCACTGATCTAGGCTGTCAGAACTGCATTGTGTCTAGAATTTGTAGAGTTCCCTGACATTATATGCAATACGCTAAATAAATACACCTAAAAGCACTGATTGATGAGCTGCGATTAGTTTGGCGTGTCACAAACTAATGCAGTACAAACATCACATTTCTAGGAGGAAGCAGTGCAAGGAATTTAACTTAATTAAAGCAGCTGATACTGTTTTTAACATTATCTTTTTGGCTCCCACGTTACATCTGAGCTACCACCTTTTGCAGACAGTAATTGACCTTGCTATGCCAGACAGGCAAAGGGGAGTCACACCCTGTCAAATTAATCAGTCCAGAGGATTGTTTTATGGAAGCATTGATCAAGCCCTGACCAATCATTTTACAGCTGCTAGAATCTCTGGTCTGACACATGAAGGAGGTTGTATATTAAAACTCACATTTGTCACAGAGAACATCATATTGTCACCCCCTGGTCCAACCAAAAATCAAAACCATGAGATACCTGACGGATCTGAAGCACCTTCAGATGTTGCTTACGATGTATTTCAATATTATGACAGGTTGCTGATTTGTCTTTCAGGGTGACAGTCTCAGGCCATACATTACTTTACTGCAAATCTCCAGAAGATGAAGCATCAGAAACAATGCCTGGGGCACCAGAAGAGAAAGACCAGCTGTGGCTCTGACTGATCCCAGATATAAGCTCAAGTAAACAACTATAAGGCAGGGAAAGCTTTCATTTTTAATGCATATTGTTTTTAATGTTCTCCTTTATTTCATGACATTGTAAACTGCCTAGAGTTGCTTGACAGTGTGATGGGTATGTTGATTGAATAAATAAAATAAAAGCACCATTATTTCTTCTCTCCGACTGCTTTATTTAAAGTAATACGTTCTCTTAGGAAGATTTCCTGCCTAGAAAGATTCAAGCAACACAAACATACACATTTAAAGCAACAATCATAACAACAGCAGACAGCTGGCAACCCTACTGGATTTGGCAGAAAGAGCTCAGGAAAGGTATACTAAATTGCCATATGTTTCCCTGAAGTGAGTCAACATTCAAAGTTCCAGTTTTTCACAGAAGGTGAATGGAAACAGAAACCACAATAAGATGGAATTGTACACATGGGCAATTTCAAACTGATATCTAGGTCTCTTGTATTGGATTTGTTATCAATTCCAACATTACAGCTAGTGATGTCATCTGAGTAAAACAACATAACTAAGATTAGTTTTTTAAAAAAAATTGTAACAATGAATGCCCTCTCTTAATGGTAAGAGATTAGCATGCCCCAAGATTAGCCATTCAGAATATTTAACTGCATAAATGTTTGTAGATTGATCTAGGGCAGAGGTAGGCAACCTTGGCTCTTTTATGACTTGTGGACTTCAACTCCCAGAATTCCTGAGCCAGCCAAGAGTTGAAGTCCACGAGTCATAAAAGAGCCAAGGTTGCCTACCCCTGATCTAGGGTGTGACCATATGGAATCTTATTTTTTAAATGGTTCAAAGCAAACAGTTTCAGGAGTTATTCTCAGCACTATCATCATTATTTTGTTTTCCTATTATTATGGCTATGCAGTCTTTTGAATTCTATTCTGAGAAAGTGGTTTGGAGCACGAATGAGTGTGAAACTGTTTTTAAAACAGCTGCAACTTGTTTCAAGACTGCATGATGGCCCACTCTTCTCCAACTCAGAGAAAAGTCATAGAACTTTCTAAACACAATCCAAAATGTTCCACCTTAATAAATTTAATTTATAGTTATAAATTACAGCGATACTCAACTGCTTTGAAACTCATTGAATTTGGTATTCAACACATTTTGATGCATTGTCAAAATGCCCATTATCTGTTTGATACTCAACACATAAGCTACAACTTGTCCGTGTCAGCTGCCTAGTGACTCACTGCATTATTCGTTATGAGAAAAATTTGTTTGGTACTCATAATTTTTGATACTCATTAAGCCTCCTGGAACCAATTAAGGATGAGTACCAAGGTACCACTGTATTGTCATGCAAACAACTCAGATGTTCAAGGATCCTATTGAGCTAGATTAAGATCTTTAAAAATAGTGTTCAAATCAGTTTTTCCAATCTAGATCCCTCTAGATGTGCCAGACAACAACTCCCAAACTCTCATTATCTCAAACCAGCACAATCACAGAGGAGAGATGCATAGGTTTAATTCCCGTGATTCCCAATCATAACAATATGACTCGATTCGAAATTGCTATTAGTCATTTCACTAACAGACTAGATTTTTCCTTTGAGTGGTCTGCTTCTGGTGCTCAAGGAATACAGAAAACAAATAGCTGACTTGGCAGCATATATTACAATTTGGATGCACATTTCATTGTAATCATAGATTTGAATCTTTATAATTGAGAAATTATAATTTTTTAAAGAAGTTATTAAGAAGGCACAATAAGGGTTATGAACTATTTCCAATTCTTTCTTGATACTATAATTATATTTTAAAAATTGGGATACAAATGCATTTTATTCTGTCTTCTGCATAAATCAACTTTACCAAATAGAATTAGTTAAAAATTTCCTCACATTGTACCAAACTATATGACATTATATCTCCACACATCCAAAAGAGATAATAAACAGAGAATATATTTACTATTCTTCAATCACAAATTTTATTCCAGAATCCAAAATATATACGAGTTGGAATTCAGATTCATGGTTGACTAATATTGGTGCAGAAATGGTACCATCAATATATGCAGATCATAATCCAATCCTGCAAGACTGAACATGGATATCTCCAGATTGAATAAATGTAATAATAATCATTTACTAAGTTTTTGAGACAACAAGATATGTCTCAATAGGAACTGAATGTCAACAGGAATTTAATTTCTGAAACTTCCAAATCACAATATGGGAGGCTAATAAAACATTTATGAGAAGGTTGTTCATCTTTCTTGCATCAAATGGAAATCTGTTTAAAAGCAGAAAGTTACCTTACCAAATGATGTGAAACAATTAGAAATAAGTCATAAATTAAAATTATACTGCACATAGCAATCCTATCCAGCAAAAATGGATGAATATTTGAATGGCATATTCCTTTGAAAATTCACTGAGCAACAAAAAGCTGTTAATTGGCCCATAACATAAGGCAAAAATGAAGTATTAATTAGAAATTTAAAAAAGAATGAAATTCAGGGACCTGGTGATATTTCTGCAATATGTTGCAAGAAAATTTTGATTAAATCTTTAACTCAAGTAATGAACAATATTCAGGTATACGAAGAAGTCCTCTCATCATAAAAATAAGCTTTTGTTTCTTTTATTTATAAAGAAGGAAAAGATTCAATTTGCCCTGAAAAATATAGACCCAATTTCATTATTGAATGCACATTATACATTCTTCACCGCAAACACTGCAAAAAAATTCTAATGGAGACATTACATCCTGATCAAATGAGTTTTGTCCTCCCAAAACATATGAGAGATATTTTAATGGCTATCAGTAAGATAAATCAGAAGAAGCAAGGATTGCCTATGATTTTTCTTAATTTTTTTTCTTTTGGAAAAAGCCTTCACATCTGGTATGGTCTTTTTTATTTGCAATTCTTACAATAGTAAGTTGCGGCGCTAACATTTTTATACAGAGTATTTATGAAGAACAAAAAGATAATGGTCTTATTTTACAGCAATGCACTATATTGAAGGGAATCAGAAAATTATGTTCTCTCTCTCCGTTATTTTTATTAGCATTAGAAGCCTTGGTAATCCAAGTGCATGAAGAAAACAAATGTTGATAAGGAATTTGACAGAAAATGTAAAGTAATTTGTCTATCAGCTAATTGGTTTTAACATTGCTGCTTAAAATGTTAAATATCTAGGAACTTTTTAAACAAAAAACAGTAAGGATGTATTCAAGAACAACTATTTACCAATTTGAGAACATGTAATGACAGATATTTTTAAATGGAAGAAATTAAATTTGCTTTGGGTAGAAAAAAATTGCAACAGTCAAAATAATTTTTTTACCAAGACTAAATTTTCTATTGCAAACTATTCCCATTCCTGTCGAGAATAGGATATTACAGGTAATCCTCAACCGTAATAGTGTCCGGAATGTCCACAACAAATCATGACGGTCATAAGTCAAGTTATACATGTTACCAGGCCAATTTTACAATTTTTGGTCATTAAGCAAACGCTGCTGTTGTTAAATAAACATGGTGGATTGTTAAGTGAATGCTGTAGTTGTTAAGGAATCAATGCATTACTATGGGCATTTTTTTTTGCTGGAAACTAGGAAAAAATGTAAATTGCAATTATCCTCCTGAGCTCTGAAATGGACCAAAATGGTGACTGCAGCCCTGAGATCAGAACACATGGAACAACTGCAATGTCTGGCATGAATAACATCTGGAAGAGTAAAGACATCAGCCTCGCAACCAAATTCAGATTGGTTAACCCAGTGTTTCTCAACCTTGACAATTTTAAGGCATGTGGACTTCAACTCCCAGAATTCCACAGCCAGCAATGCTGGCTGTGGAATTCTGGGAGTTGAAGTCCACATGCCTTAAAATTGTCAAGGTTGAGAAACACTGGTTTAACACAATAATTTTTCCAATTGCTACTTACGCTGCAAAACCTGGGGCTCTGAAAAAGGTTGATAGGAGAAGGGAAGATGCCTTTGAATTGTGGTGCTGGGGGTGAGTATCATGTATCCCACGGACTACAAAAACAACAAACAAAGAAGTCCTAGACAGAACCTCACCAAAAACATTGCTTGAACCCAAGATCGCCAAACAGAGGCTGTCATTCCTTGGTCATGTCATGAGAGCTGACCCATTTGAAGAGTCAATCATGCTGGGAGTGATCAGCGGAAAAAGGGGGAGCCGCCTTAGTACCCGCTAGCTGGCACTATAAAAGATGTCACTGAGATGACATGGCAGATCTGAAGCAAGCAAAACAGAGGGGCATGGAGAGTACTGATCCTTGGAGTGGCCGAGGGTTGGACACAACTGAATGGCTGACGACGACGATAAATCTCATTACATTAATAAATAATCAAATAAATGAATAAATATTGCAAACTCTAGGGCTGGCTGAAAACTTTCTGCCTCAAATTTAAATTGTTAGTGCATTCTGAAACTGAGAAGAGAAGCAGCATGGCACCTATCAAATCTATCCCTATATGCGGCCTGCAATTATCTGGTCTTCAAGAGCAACAGTTAATCAGCAGAGAGTCTGTGTGCATTGTTATTTTTAAAGAATGTTAAGCCATTACAGAATAATTATTCTCTAACCGCAGACATTCAGCATTGATGCTATCTTACTGAAGATAAGACAAGTAATCCATGAGGCCTGATATCATCTGAAGTCCTCCAAGCTATAGTCATTACATACCATGGATGACATCGGAAGCAAGGTTAGTCATATGATTCCCCCTAAATATAGTTCTTGTTAAGATAGATTTACTGAATGTTATCAGCCAGTACAAGTTTCTTTGTAGATATGTACTCTGGTAATCTGAGCTTGATGTTATTCAGACAATGTGCAAACCAGAGACTTGAGAAGAACATTAGTTCTCCCCAGTGCTTTTTTTCTAAAAAAAAAAAAAAAAAAAAAAAGGTGCTGAACTCACACACGTCATACAACCCGCCTTGCCTACCTACAAGGTTCCATCCAAAAAAGGTGCCGGAACTCCGTTGTGGGCGGATCTATGAGAAAAAAAAGTCCTGGTTCTCCCTAATGAGGAACAGATTTGTTTATTTATTCCCCAGCTTTATTACATATAGTGATGGCAGGAATAGCCAGGAGAAGAAAGCATCCAGTATAAATAATCAGCTGAATGGATGTCCTATGCTTCTGCTCAGAAATA